TCGGCAACTAGTACCCGCCCACAACGTCCTTATATGTAATGTGGCATCACCAGTGCCTAATACAACATACCATTTTCCTGAGATAACTATGACGTCTCCTGAAACCGTAAGTGTCTCCTATGACACACCAATCGTCATCCTTGTCAGTGTCTTGATATTGCATTTAAAACCGGGTATGGTCCACAATATCCGGCCGGTCCATTTATCCATCCCATACCCAAACAACAATTACAATATCACTGACCCACTTTTAATCAAATCCCAAGTCACTAAGACTCAATTCTAGCATCAACTGCTATCAAAACTTTTCTAACATCAGGAACCAACTCTGAACTCCTTACCACTAATCACACCTGAACGTTCCGCTGTTACCTGCATGAAACACCCACATATGCTAAACACTAATCAGTGCACATCAAAACTATATCCTCATTGGTAGAACCTCACAATACCAGCCAAGTCGTGTCTAATGAGGACATCAGACAACGATGCAAAATACCATGATACCCACACATGCTTATGCTGATAAGCCATCCACAAATGACAACGTTATTGGCGTCAGTCCTACCACTCATTTCCCAGACCTCTAAGTGCCTGACCTTTCTTATGAGGTGACATACTATAACGGAATACAAGTCAATAACAATGACACTATCCACAGTCCCAAACTGACTCACATGGATACAAGCCGTTAAACACATAGCATACTTCATCTTTAAACAATTAAACAATTATCATGTAAGCACATAAGCATGCTTGCAAAGCCCAAACAAAATAAACACATAGCCACGTAAGCAAGTAGACATGCTTGCAAAACAAAAAACACATAAGCACGTAAGCATGTTAGACAACACAAACCAGAAAACCCTTAATCGTAGACAGACCACTACCTGTCGTCCCTAGGTTAGACGAACCATGCTCTGATACCACTCTTGTCACGACCCTAGACCATAATCCAGGTTGTGAACATAAAATAGAACAAAGAAATACTCATATTCAGAAACGTCTGACCGAGCCCTAGAACACTGTCCAAAAATTTTAGATAAAACTTTAATATTCAAGGCTGATAATAAAAAAATCCATTGGTTTCAAAAGTCATGTTAAATAAAGTACCCTGTCCCAATACACACACACAAAATCCATTTCCCTGTCCACACATTATTTGAAAATATAAAAGTAGGTTTCATATGTAAAACCCCATAATCCTTTAATTACAATAATTAAACAAAATCTGTTTGAAAGAATATTTATAAATATACATGTTAGTCTCAAAATATATATTTCCCATTTATACAAAGATATATAACCAAATAGAACCCAACATCCATCCATGGCTGTGGAGGAATGCCCTCTACGACCTCTTGCCCATAACTTGAAAAAAGGTATATATAATAGGAATGAGCAACCACAGCTCAGCAGGAAATGCCTAACCACCATTCCTTAATACCCCCATGAATCCAAACAAAGAATAGGAATCAGAAAAGGAGTCATGCAAATTCGGGGAAAAATAATCATCACATCATCATGCTGTCTCACAAAATAGTCAACACAGAAGAATATGAAGTACCATATACACAGAGTCTAAACCATTTCCCTTATTACAACTTTCTATACAAAAAATCACATTTCTCATTATCACAACCATCAGTCTAAAAGTATGCCCCTGTAACGAAAAAAAATCTCTTTATTAATACCTAAGGTACCTTTTAGTATTAATGATTTACTGCATCTAGACAAAAGGATAACTACTCATGTCTAATTATAAACATAAACTAAGAATATCCATCTCTATTACTCCATAATTACCACATTCTTTCCAATCAATATCTTAGCCGGTACTATGCTATGCCGGGAGAAAAATAACCACAATATCACATTTATAAACCAAGTCATGAATGGATATGCCATGCAATGGTTGTAATGTCATGCGATGTCACTCCCCATTTTTCTAAAACCATTTCCATCATCATTTCCAAACCGTTAGTGAACCCGTCCTATGGCAACTCCATGGCGGCACGAGAGGAGGATTGGCAACTGTCCCTGACCCATGGCAACTTCATGGCGTCATTTGGGGCCCAGGTAACACAACCACATTAGGGCGATTTCCCTAGTCCCCTCTAAGCCTCACTAACGCTGCGGTTCCCAGGCAACTCCTAGGCGGCCGGGTTTTTCACAAAATTCTTTTCAAAATTCATTCCCAAAAATTCATATCATTTCTTTCAAATCAATTTTTCCCATTCTTTCCCAATGATATGTATGAATGTCATATGCTTCACAATATTATAATATCACATCATTACTCGCATCAAAATCATATTTTATGGACACACTTTGGCAACAAATTTATCAGGCAGCATGTTTCAAGGACAATATATCATTTAGTTTTTGAACACTAATACAACACCAAACTTATAACAAAACAGCTCATAATTGAAGTGAACTAAATATATAATTTCTAACTTGTCAAACAATAACCATACAACCATTGTGATTACTAGAATTTCAGTTTTAGACATATAAATACCAACAACATTTTAAGAACTCAAATTCCATATTTAAAACACATAACACATCATTTCTGTCTAAGTTACAAAATTTCAGATTTTTATTACATAACATGCTTGTAAAGAAAGCCTAATTCAAGTTATATAATGGTTCAATTTAAAAGATTTAGTTCACAAGGAAACAAAGGGTGCGAGGGTTAAAACAACTCCTACTAGTTATTAACAATTCATCGCAGCTTGTTATCTCCATCTTTGAAAATTCATAATAATTTCAATTCCATGTCAAATTGAGTGATTCCAAAGCCTAATAAGAGCTTAAACACAGTAATTTGAAAGTATCAATATACTTTAACAAAACCCCTTCCCAATTGGAACAGTTTTGACCCATAAATTCGAAATAAATGCTGCCCGGAAAACTGATTTCCAGCCTGTTGCTTCCAACTTTGAAAAATCATAAAAAAAATTCAATTCTCATCTAAATTGAGTGAATCCAAAGCCAATTGAAAGTTTAAAGACTATATTTTCAAGATAAAATCTTACTTCACCAAAATTCCTTACCATTTAAATCAGGTTTGATGAAAAAAATTCGAAAAAAATCTACCCCAACCTAGAATTTCCAGCAAGAACACTATAACTTCAAAATTTCGTAATAAATTCATTTCTCAACATATTTAAATGAAACCAATTCTCAATGAAAGCTAATTAACTATATTATCATAATATCAAATCATCTCTAAAAGATAAATTACGAATTTACATAAATTTGAGCAAAACAATAGCATGTAATTTCAGCCAAACAGTTTCAGCAGCACAGAATTTCAGTTTTGTTTGCATACACTTTGCAAACCCTAGGAACAAACACCTCCAAGCTATCCCAAGGATAGATCGAACCCACCAACAAAATGATGAAGATGAAGAACTCTCCATTGAAGCACAACTAAGATCCTCCTCTTTTCAAGGTACTTTCTGAAACCCATGAATTAAGGAATGACCACATATACTATATCAATGGAAACCTCATTCCCTCTAGGTCATTTTTCATTCACACCTCAACATCAAACTCTCACTACAAGTCTCTCTAAATGGTGCTTCAAAAACCGCTCTAATGGAGAACGAAATTGGTTAAAGGAAGAAGAAATGGAATTAACATGAGGAACCCATAAGCTGAAGCTCTCTTCTACGTGAGGAGTTATACAAATTGTGGCTAGAAACTTGCCAAGTGCGTACTTAAGTGTCAAACTCACAAATGATCAAAAGGTGGACCAAGGAAATAACCAAAACGCCCCCCACCTCTTTACTTAACCACCAAAATGCCATTACAACCTCAAATGACCGTTCCACCCTCATGAATAAAACAAATGACATCCAAGATAATTATTTTTTAATTAAGAAAATAATTCAAAATCCAAAAATTTCAGCGTGAGACCCACATGAGTCACTCGGCCCGAAAATCCATAAACTGTCCAAACAGTTCAACTAGCATATCTATGCTTCCCAAACTCCATGAAACACTCCAAATCACTATAAAACCTTTGTGACGTGCAATCCCAAACATGGCACGTAACCCGAGGTCATGAAATAATCACTTATGCCAAAATGAGAAATGTTCGGGAAAAAAATGAAAAAGTGATGGACATCACATTGAGTCCCTCCAAAATTATGCCTGAGTTGTCTACAACCTAGTGATTGTTGGGTGAGTCAAATAGAATGAGATGAGGTGAGCGGGTAGCATAGTTTGGTAAACGCAGTCTTACAATGACAAATTTGCCCTTTAAAAGCAAAAGGTTATGTTTTAGTTATATTTATTCTATTACTTTTCACTTTAACGTAAAACCTTTCATTAAATCTTCTTAATCATCAAGTCATTTATATATGTAAAAACTACTAAAATAAATTTATAAAACTTTATTTTCATGTAACAGGTGATTTTTGGGAAGAGGGAAGCTAGGGCACCATTGTCATTCCCCATCCTCCTCCATGTAACAAGTGATAGTCATGTTACATGCATATAGTGTGACCCCACTTTTTAATAGATATATATATATACGCACACAGGCATATAGTGTGACGTCACTGTCAGTTGTTAAGGGATTTCTTAAGGCGGACTATAAATTTGAACCTTATGAATTCGATTCTCAAACTTACTTCCTGCACCTGTAATAAAGGAAAGTGCAATAAAAATTTATTGGTCAGATGAAATATGTCCAGCTAAAAGCTTAATATATTGATGTTGGCTTGCAAATATTTGGCTGCAAAAAATTATGTCTACTGCCATCAATATTCAAATTAAAAGGCTTGAGAAACAAATTGAGATGTAAGGCAAAGAAACAGTTTGTGAATGCCAATTCTGAAGATCAAAACTGCCCTAACTTTCATTTTTTGTAGAACATGTCCAAGACTACAGTACAAATCCCAATTGACAAAACCATGTTTCATAAGACCTTAAAATTTGAATAAAAGAATTCAGTAAATCCAAAGAAATGTTATTGCCTCGTCTTTCAACTACAGAACTCATCAATTATCCAGTCATCTGTAAATCCTTAAGGTAACCATAAGAAGTCCTGCTCTATACAAAAACATATTGAAGAGAATGATACATAAAACGGTAAGTACACAATTAAATCTACAATGAATTTTACACCTTAACCTCATCAATTATACATGTTTGTCTGCTACAAGACGAACCTTATTTAAAGACTCCTTGAACGCTTGCCAAGCAACCATGTAATGATCCTGAGATGTCATTCCTTCCTCGACAACTTGTAAGGCTCGTCTATACAAGTGATCAAACCATTGAACTGGATTAGCAATATCGACATTGTTGGAGCCAACATCTGCTGCATACAAGCGCTTAAAATCCTTCCTCCATCTTGACAAAATATACTGGGCAGGGATTTCCTCCACATTATTAATGTTAAGAACACTCAATGCATGGCGGCATAGATAACCTTTGAAGTTGAAGCAGCTACAAATGCAGCGAACTTCCAATCCTGCTTTATCATACATAACTTCCAAGTTCCTTATCCCTCTCATATTTCCATCAGCCTCTTGTTCTTTGACCGTGTATGTGATCATTGGTCCATTAGCATGAATCTGAGTCACGTTAAAACAAGAAGACATCATCTCCACCTCGCCTTGAAACTTCAAGAATATTTCTTTCGTATAGACTTTAGAGAGTTGTAGCTCATAATAGCACCTTGTTTTTAGCATGGGGATTGACTCTCTTGACTCGTAATCATCAAAACCTTCCTTTTGATACTTTTTTTGTAGAACTAATTCATACATATCAAAAAATTCTTTCAGAGAAGTTTGCTTATGGACATATCCATCGAAAAATGGATTCTTGGAGTCACCCGGTTGAGATATGGACATTCCGGCAAAATATGTGTCTTTCAAGTAAACAGGAGCCCATCTTTCCCGGTCTTCAAACAAGGTTCGAAGCCACTCATGATCTCTAATCCCAAAATGCTGGATCAAATCCTCCCAAGCTATTTCAAATTCTTCCACTTTGGTAGAGTTGTAAATTGTTCTATTCAATACTGTTTGAAATATTTCAGACTCCTGCAACTCCCCCAAATTTTCAAGAAGGCTTTGCACAACAAGTGACAAACAAAGACGATGATGAGCCCTTGGAAAAACCTCTGCAATTGCACTTTGCAAGGCCTTACACTGGCCTGTAATGATGGTTTGTGGAGGACGTCCTGACATACATGTAAGCCATGCCCTTAATAACCAAATATATGTCTCTAGTGTTTCATCTGCAAGCAACCCACAACCCAGTAAAATAGACTGCCCATGATGATTGGCTCCTACAAATGCTACAAGCGGAATCTCATATTTGTTTAACAAACATGTTGTGTCAAATGAAACCACATCACCAAAATAACCATACGCAGCCCTGGACCTAGAATCAATCCAAAATACATTCCTTAAATGACCTTCATCATTAAGATCCATCACATAGAAAAAGTTGGGATCTGTTAGTTGAACCCGGCAAAAATAATTATAGATGACTTGTGCATCGCCTTTTTTAAGCTTCAAGCGCTTGGACTGATCAACATGATTACTGATTTCCCTGTCATTTGAGCCATAATTCACTGCATCCACAACAGGAGTGCGATATAACTTGATTGTCCGCACTTCTACGTCAAGAGTTGGCTCCAACTTTCTTTTAGCTCCAGCATCCATCTTCTTGTGAGACTTCGAGTTTAGTGCCCTTTCAGGATCAAATAGATGGTTGTGTTCAAGCTTAACTTCATCCACCCTCCATCTGTTGGATTCCACTAACCTCAACCTTATCATTGCTAGACAACCAGTTCTTGTTTCCTTCCTTCGACTGCTAGCTTCTTTTATTGTTTTGAAACCCTCACAATTGCAACAGAGGACTGCACCACGCTTCTCCTTGCTGTTACGTTTTGTCCATGAAGATTTGACCCTGATAGCAAATCCCAGCTCCTTGGCATAGCAATTATAATAATTATAAGCATCGTCATATGACTCAAACTCCATGCCCACAGCTGGTGGGGGGTAGCCCTTTCCTTGAGATACACCATTTTGGTCCTCATGGTCATTGCTTTCAATCTCAAGCATTTGATTATTATTGTTCTCATGGTCATTGCACTCGGTATCAAGCACGAGCTCGCTGTTGTCCTCATGGTTATTGCTTTCGAACTCAAAAACTTGCTCACTGTCATTCCCAAAGTCATTGCTTTCAAACCCAAGAACTTGCTCGCTGTCGTTCTCAAGGTCGTTGCCTTCAATCCCAAGCACTTGCTCACTATCAATCTCAGGGTCACTATCCCCGTCCTCGAGGAACTGCTCACTGTTTTCAGAACCTTCTTCCACCTGAAATGAAAACAGGCAACCAATATTGGAAAAGATCCTAGACTACAAAAACACCACCACCACCAACTATAACAACAAAACTCGCAAACTATTGAACTGGTTGCACAGATTTTATTTATTCCCCAAATCCAAGAATGGAATATATTATCCTGTTATCTAAGCTATTAAATTGAACTAAATGTGTTTGCCTCAATTTACTAAAAACTGTGTAAAATACAAAGACTAGAACTATTAATCCCAGTTTCCATGTATATACTCAGGATGAAAACATTGACAGTCACAAAATCATTTTATCCAAAACTATCTTGCTCATGGAAAGTTATTGAGTTGCATGCATGTTCTTTGATAGCCATTACTTTGAACTCTATAAATCCAGATGGTTCTTATTTAACTGCTCTTCTATCTCAACATTTGAAATCAGCACTCTGCTGCTCTCCCAGTCTTCACTAATCCAACATGTCCAAGATTTTATCTCCTGCAATTCAGTCGGTCAATTTCCGGGACCCATTGATCCAGCTTATCCATTCTCTGCTGCTTTTTTATCCCATTCATCAAATCTACTCTTCTGGCATCTATCTATTTTCAAGTTCAAACTTTTTTATGATTTAACCACCAAAAGCCTGCCAATCAGCTTTCAGGTAGGTATTCTTTCTTCTCATTTATTTGTTGTGTCTCCAACCTAAATAGTTCAGCCAGACTCAAAGTTGATATTTGATATTCCAATCCCTAATCTGGTTCATGTTCCGAAAAAAAAAACCTCAGAATCAGATGTTCTGCCACAAGGCCACAACATTGATTGAGCTGGATAACAACAGGTTTAGTAGAGAACCTCTAGTCTAGAATCTAGATTAAAATTTGCATGCTCCAGCTGAATAATTAATTATCAATACCAGATTGACTCTGACTCTGACTCTGAGATTGCCAATTTCAGAAAAATCAGCTGCAACTTTTCAGAATTATATACAGCGTATATCAAATACAAATGTTTAAAATTTTGAAATACATTCATCTATAATACAGAAAATTATATGTATGTATGTATAATCATAATAAAATAAGTAAAATATAATTTGGACGGTATGTAGAAGCCTTCGCTACAATTTCGTTCCTCATAAACTAATTACCTACTTACTTATCAAAAAAAAACCTATTACCTACTCAACATAAAAGATCACCTTACCAAGTGTTCTTCAATTGTAAACCAGATTGATGTGGACTTTGGAGTTTTGTCTCTCCTTGCCCCCCATGAGCAAACACTCATATTTACAACATTTTGTACCATTCTATTCAAGTGTCCTTAAATAGATGATGTTTGAATATCTCCATTCTTTTCAATTTCTGTCATGTTATAATCATATGATAATGTTTTCATTAAGCCTTTTCTTCAGATACTACCTACTCTCCCTGCTTAGCCTTTGTAAATTGCTGCACCACTCTACCTCTTTATTTCTAGTTTTCTTCCGCACATTTGCCTTATCTATCTTCTTCAACTAGATTACTAAACTTTGTCCAAGGGTGACAAATGACTTTAAAAAAATAAAATAAAATTGCCTGAGACCATAAACTAAAGGTGATCATGAATCCCTGGAATATAGTCCGGCCAATGTCTTGACTATTGCGTCCATCAAGATGCCCCCTCCTTAAAACTTATAATCACGATCCCATATTCCCTTGATAAATGGTCAATTTTCCTTCAAGCTTTGACTAGTGCTCCATGATAAGTATCAACTTTCCACGTGCTTCCTACCAGTTCAAGTCAATCTATCAATCAGATTCAGAATTACCCAATCCAAGACAACAAGACAACAACACAAAGCCAAACATTCATTGATAATATTTTTCTATCAAAATTCTTCATTCCATCCAAATGAGCCTATTGATTAGTACTTCTTTACTTCACCCAGTATACATTCTAAGTGGTGTGCAAATATTGATTATGGTACTTCTTTCTTGCTTCATTTTTCACCAATCAGAATGTGGTTCTCAAAATGGACAGCATTAAAAAAATAATAATAATAAAATTTTAAAAATAAAATAAAAATTGACAGGTTCAGTGAGTACTGCAGAGCTAACAGAACAACAAAATGTCATGTCATAATAAGTCTTGATTTCGACAAATAATGTTAATCATTCTGATATTATCCAGTGTGCTATGATCAATGCTGCCTCAACCAATCAAATTAGGTCCCAACAATCATACAGACAATATCATCTTGCTGAGTTAACTGTTTAAAGAGATTTATTAAGGGATCCTCAAGGTATTCCTCTTAGTCTGTAACCTATCATGTGTAAAATTCATAACTTGATTTGAGCTTCTCACGCTATTTTCTAGAAATCGAACCATTTTCCATCACTGGCAAACTTTTGAACTCATTCCACTTCTATCTGCAATGATATCATTCTAACTAATGCTAACTCCATAGCATTTCTTTTACTCATGTACTGCTCAAAATAGCCGATTTAGTATGAATATACCAATCCTCTTCACCATTATAGGAATGACCCAAAAGTTCATTTATTGATCGAAAGCGTTAACAGACTTCCATCGGGCTTTCTCTTATTTTCGTCTTGAACTCTTCAAGGACAACCTCAAACAGGTTAAACACGACTAAAAAATGCCAAGACATGCTTAAGACCACCTAAATAAGTCAACAAACCAGATCCCACTTGGGTGACCTCCCAAGGATTGCATTAAATTTGGAAGCATAATTGGGAGGACTAGCTAGGTCAAGATGAGTCTCTATACCATTTTTGTTGTCAACTAAAAGTGCTAACATATGCATGCTACAAGTATAAAACATTGTGTTGCCATTGGCAAATTCTCTAATTGAGGTATTACTTATCAAAAAAAAAAAAATTTCTCTAATTAAGGTATCTTTGTCATAAGCTTGGGATCTTTTTCATTTGGCTTCACAGAATCTCCATGACAACAACACTCCTTTATACAGTTTGCCAACAAAATATTTGAAGTCAAAATGGTCTGTTGCATAATTCTTGTACTATTGGCGAATTCCGTTCCAAGGTATGTTCGATAGGGTGTGAACAAAATGAGTCATGAATGTGTTATGCTGAACACTTTGCCAAGGATCATTATTGAAGACTGAGATAGGAATTTGAAAGTTACATCAGAACATTTTGTCAGAATGCTCCATGTTGCCCAATCATGTTCAGCAAAGGTAAGAAAGACTGTAAATACCTTAGGAGTTAGGTTGGTAAAGACTTAGATAGTTTGGACCTTCCTTGACCTAGGCTGGCATTTAATTGGTATTATCAAAAGTGTCTTCAAATTAATTGAGGATTTAATGGTTCTATTTGATTCTAAAATAAGTTTGAGAACGGTGTAAAGTTGCACCACTACATGTTGCACTTGCACCAGTGAAGAGCTTTCTATTTTCATGTATTGTGTTTCCAGAATGAAGTTGCACCGGTAGAACTCTTATTTGCACCAGTTTAACTTTGTCCGAAATCTTGTTGCACGAACTTCCCTCTACACTGGTTTAATTTCAGACAAAACCGAGCTACACCGGTGGAGTTTTTCCTTGCACCAGTACAAGCTGGCGGAAAAACCTGATTCCTCAAGGATTTAAATTCATGTTGGACGCTAATTTAAGGATGGCTTATGACAATCATAAATACAAGTCTTCTAGGTTATTTAAAGTGTGAAAAAAATTGCAGAAAATTGGAACACACCTAGATATTTATTTATAAAAAATAAAAATAAAAATAAAAACCTCTTTTTCCATGAAATTAGGAGCTTTCTTCATTCATAAGTAAGAAATCCATTAGATACCTTTGTGATATTTGTGGGATTGAGTTGAGAGTAAGGAGCTTCATTGTGATTGTTCAAGATACAAAGATTGTTCAAGATAAACTGAAAATTCATTCGTCAACAAAAAGGTTGAGGATTCGAGTCCCAAATGGGACTGTGGTTTAGCTATCGGAGCCAAAGAAAAATAATAAAGGAAAAGATGCCACTTATGCTTGCCATTTTACTTTATGACAACAGCCTAACGAGTGACGAATGTCACTTAGGAAGCAAAAAAGTTATCAGTATTTCAACCTGTTTCAAAAAGAACCTACGTTGTCTTTTCTATATAATCAATTTATCCTACAGCACACTATTAGTGCCATTAAACACAACGATATAATATACCCTAGCAGTCCTGCCACCATGCTGCAGAACAGAAACTTGTGTGGAATAATCTTTTCTTTATGGCAGTGGAACGAAATGAAATGCCTTAAAACATTCTGGAGTATTAAAAATCAGAACTAAAAGTTATAGATTTAAATTTCATCTTACATTTAATGATCTATGTCACAAAATTAATCATAATATTCTGCAATTTGATTTCTGTATGGTCTGGTAAAATCCGTTGTCAGCTCCTTACATATTACCGTTAATTGCTTCCACAACTAGTCCCATCCTACAATTATACAAGCACCATCAGTGGTACTTCCGTATAAGTTGTATTCCATCACCGTATGTTTGGTCACCCTATGTTTGGTCGTTAAGAAACCAAAGGAATATGAGTATAAATAAATAAATAAGATTCAAACTTGGAGAGTTTTTAGTTGAATCCATACCAAGTAAAAAACGAAAAAAAAAAAAAGTTCAAATAACTGGGTGATGAATTATTTGTTTGTTAAGTGAAATTTAGCTTACATTTCCATTTTCCTTCTGGATAGGGATTAAGGGCATGAACTCTTAAGTCTTCAAATTCCTTTTGCATCTCTTCTTCAGTTTTCTCGAGAAACAAAGGTTCTTTTAAGCGAAAATTCCAAACACAAAAAACTATAATTTTAGATAAAAGTGTGTAAAAATGGAACCTTCGAATAAATGAAACCCTAGAACAGATTATATAATAAACTCAAACTGAGTAAGAAAATCATACGAGAAAAGCCAAGATCAGAGGGAAATTTAGAGGCACTTACAGTGATATCGAGATCTGGGTTCGGTGATAAGGCCTCGCCGCCCGGAGAAAACGCGCTATCGCCGGTCATGGCTCTGATAGGCACCTTCTCAGGGGTTGTGTCAAAGTCTGAGAGGTTAGTTTTACCCTAACGACCTTTAACTATTTAGATAAATACTAGTAATAATATATCAGGAATTTAGATTTTATAGTAATAAAAGAACTTATGAAATTTGTAAATTTATGGCTAAAAGTATCAATCCAACTTACTGCACCAAATAGTGTGTAATTAACATGTTTCTTATTTAATTTTAATAGTTACTCGTAGTAACAGTCACTTATGATATAAGTCGATTTTAATAGTTTCTCGTTGAGTAATGTAAATTTCTTGTTGAGTCACGTAAATTTCATTTTGTTTGTGTCTATTCTATTTATCAATAGCATGTATGTAATATTTAACTAAAAAATAAATAGTATGTATGCAATCCTAACAACTACCTAAAAATTACAAATAATTAAAAAAAAGATGTTAGCATGATATTGAACAGAAGTATTTTTAGATTGAGTGAAACAAATTTACGTAACCAATTTTATACGGTGCATCTCCTCATGTACACATGAAAAGGTGCCTTTGTTGCGATTGTATAGAATTGGTTACGTAAACTTGTTCATATATATATATAATAGTTTATTTGATTTTGTTGCCTTTTCTAAATGATCATAAAACATAGTTTTTGATGAATCACCAAAACAAATGTTTAATGGGAAATCGCAACAAAGGCACCTTTTCATGTGTACATGAGGAGATGCACTTGTTTATACATATATATTTGTGTCCATCTCATCTTTTTTCACAATCTTATACTCCAAAGACAGCTAAACATTTGTTTTGGTGATTCATCAAAAGCTATGTTTTATGATAATTTAGAAAAGGCAACAAAATCTAGTTTATTTGATTTTGTTGCCTTTTCTAAATGATCATAAAACGATGAATCACCAAAACAAATTTTAGCTGTCTTTGGAGTATAAGATGGTGAAAAAAGATGAGATGGACACAAATACTCTGCTTCAAATATAGCGTTCACACTTGTTTCTTAAGTCAGTGGTGACACTTAAAAGGACTTTGATAAGGGGATATAGACAAGAGCTATCCATGTATCACTTAGTACAGGAACTCATTATATCATCATCGTTTGTTGCAGATTAATATATACAACTTCGCATTTGGCTGGTTCAATTTTGCTGGTATCAAAGTTTGCTTGCTGACAAAATTACCGGTCATCCACACAAGGGCAAAGGCAGCCAAATACAAGAAAAGCATTCATCTTAGTGTTGATATGCACCACAAAACACTGAACTACTGACAATAATTACGAGTAATTTTCCGTTCCATTCTTCCAAAATATGGAATGGACCATGCACAACTGCTCACGTTAATTTGACTAGTTTCTTATTTTTCTCTTGGATGACTTCTCCGCCTTGGTCTGTTTGTTCTTCATTACCTTTCCTGTTTCCTTGCGATCCCCACCTTCGTCGCCATGATAATCATCACCACTATTATCATGATCACCATCACTTTCCTCGGGCTTCTTTTTTGCAGGAGGTTTCTTACGTCCTCTAGCTTCCTTCTTCTGATCTCCATTTTTGTTGTTATTGTCGTTGCCACTTCCCTTGGACTTCCTTTTCGCAGGAGGCTTCTTACTTGCTCTGTTTTTCTTCACATCTCCTTCATCATCATCGTCATCATCACTGATGTCATTGTCATCATCATCTGTGTTGCTACCATTAAACTTTCGTTTCACCGGTGATTCTTTATGTCCACGGCTAGTTGTGTTCTTTTTTCCCTTTGATTTTGCACTCTTAGCATTTTCCTCTTCCCCACTTTTGTCAACATCTTTTTCACCATTCTTGTCTTTGCCTTTCTTAAAGGCTTGCCTTTGTGGTTTACTAGGTCCAATTGCTGCCTGAGTTCCAGGTAGCTTTTGTAACTCCGGTACATATGCTGTCGTCTGAGACACAAGAAACAAACCTTCTCAGATCAACTACTAAAACCGCAATAAGAAGAGGACTATTTTAGAAAATCAAGCGAAAAAGATTAAAAAAATTAAAATAAAATAAAAAAAGAGGAAAAAGAAGAGGAAACAAATGCCCTAGGTAACATACCCTGCCTCCAGCAGTGATAAAATCAATCTTCTTCCCTGTCATATAGTGGAAGCTTGTTAATATATTTATGACGCAATCAACAACCAAAAACTGGGATGGTAAATCTATGCTCAATGCAAAAATAAAATTTGAACAGAACAGGAAAAAAACACACATCAATTGATCACTTATAAGGTTAAGGAATTATTTAACAATATAGTGTAACAATTCACTTTGGATACAAAAACTAGTGTGTGTGTGTGTGTGTGTGTGTGAGAGAGAGAGAGAGAGCAGCAGCAGCAAAGCACAGTTAGCACGCAGAGCTGAAGAGCTGGATCAAGAATTATGTTGCAGAGCAGTGTCAGCAGACAAAAACTGTGTCACCTTCACTAATCAAGGTGTTAGGTGTACCATTCCATTGATGCAATCATGCAGATTTTCCTATCCTCAGTAAAAACAGGGGATGATTGCATGGAACTTGTACTTTGTAGTTGTAGTTGAAGAATATATTAATTCAAACTTTAAACTAGTTTTTCAACCAATTCCAAGGCACAGATTACATGCTATAAAAGCAGAGTAAAGAACCTGCTGAATGATTACCAGCTTTATGAGAGGTGAATCTGTCAAGCTCAAGACAGTACACGAATTTATTTACAAGAAGATAAAATTTCCCAAGGAATTCTCCATGAGGAGCCAAAGCTACTCATTGAGAATACTGGAACCAAATCCAAGCGCTACTAAAGCTAAGACTTTTTGCTAACTCAAGGCCATTAAGAATATAGATAGAACATTCCCCCCAAACCCCCCAAGCTACAGAAAGCACAAAAAGACTCAGTGATTTTGAAAGTAATCCTTGCAATTGACTGCAACAGATTTCGTAAAATTAAATTGGTGAAACTTTTTTCCTTTTACACTCTCCCTAGCATTTTTTCATATATCTACAGAAATAGAAAATATATTTAAATGATGACAAAAACAATTGTTCCTTCAGGAGATGAAGGAATGCTGGTCTGGCATTTAGTGAGAGAATATAGAAAGGTAGGGGTTTAGGTGTTTAGAGAAGAATTATAGGGGCAGACTTGCAGGCTTGAGAGGGAGAAAGGTAAAGAGAGAGGAGATTACTCTGCTGCACTGGCGGTGACAGCCGCACCGTGGCCGCAGACGTCCCACAATCAATGTGAACTAATCACTCCTTGCTTCCCACCTCGCGCACATACTCTACAACAGTTGCCCCTTCACCCTCAAACCAGCTGACAAATGAATATTATGCCACCCTCCCATTGCCTTACCCTCTCTTCTCTGTTTCCTCTTCTTTAGTGGTGCCCAGTTTGTTGTTTACAGAAAGGATGATGGAGAAAATGATGGGAAGATATATATTGGAGAAGCACAGTGAAACCTACTAAATTTATCAGTACTCGTGGCATTCTAGAATTGACAAATTTTACAGGCAAAAGGTCGAAATTTTTTGAGACAGTTGAATGTAATTTTTATTATTTCTTGTAGATAATAAAGTAGCTTGTTGGTAAAATCAAATCAAATATCTATTATTTGATAAAAGTGCCTACGCATCAATACTACCATTGAGTCCTCACTTTTAAGATATGGGGATAGACAATCGAAGAACTAGACATACAGCAGCAACCAAACTAGTATAATAAAGGTAATGTTTATTTGGAAAGTGACAGTCAAAAGCTTATTGGGTTGAATGGTTAGGAAACTTCAAGTTCCACACCAGTCTCAACCTTTCAGAAGATCATTATACAGGCAGATATGAATCTAATGGAGAAATTTAATAAAACGATGACAATAATGCCATTTACAGCCACTCAAACCACCAAAACAGATATGAGAAAAGTTTCAGCATTCACCAGTGCACTTTAGCTTGAGTAATATCACCTCAACCTCCCAGAGAGGAGGCTGAAGGTTCAAAATCCCAATCGGGACAAAGAGGGTGTGTGCCTCTCTGTCTGTCAAAGGAGGAAGAAGACGAAGAAGAAGAAGAAAGATTTCAGAAACCAAAAATTTTGCCTCAGACATGGAGCAATTTTAGGGGCCACTGATTGATGCAATGCTGAAGGTCCAGCTAACAAGAATGAAAACACAGATTCAAGTTTGAGAGCAGCATCTTTGGGTAAAATAAAAGAAGAGATGACATGTGTACCCAGTCTTCCCGTCCCATCACCCCAGGGAGGTGGAAGTGCATCGGATAAGCTTCTTTTAGACATACAATAGTTGTTGGTTTTCCAAAGAGATGCAAAAACATTTTTTTTTGGATAAGTCAACAATTTTTTTGGTTGTTAACCTATATAAGTTCCTGTCATAATATTACTGAAGGATTCTCCATCAAACTAATAATGCATCAACAAATCTTTCTATTAAAAACCACTCAAAGATCTCAAATTTGAACATCAAACAATTAGCTAGCTTTTAAGAAACATTAGTCATTAAAGACAAAAATTCAAACACAATGCAAACAAATCAAGATTTAGATGCTGACTAAATCTCAGTTGGAGTGGTGAAACAATATTTAAAGGATATGCCATGAAAGATTATCGCACAAGTCAGGATCCAGACCATCAACAAAAGCCTTGCCAGCCTTTTTTTCACGTGAATGGAAAATCCAACTACTAGGGAACTGACTACTATCTGCTTCAACTCCAACAGCCTTTTCAATGACCTGTAAAATCAATTGTTTTTTTGTCAAAATGATCACATGTATTATAAATATCTTACCATTAACTGTTCCAAGCTTCTTGCCCCATCGAAAATGAAACAACCATTCACATGGGAAGAGGCTGCATTCAGCATCAACTTCAACTGCATATTGAATAACCTACAAGTATTTTCTTCTACACTAACTTTAAAGAGTGCATGTTTAACAAAAAAATAGTTGGGAACAGTAAGAAAAACAGTCCATAGTAAATTATGATCCCCCACCTCCTTAATGCACTTGTGCAATGCTTCACAGTTTTCTCTGGACAAGCTGGCAGCGACATGCAGAGGATGAATTCTCGCCTGTAAAAAGATTGGAAGTGACAATATAGCAGTTAAAATTCAACATTTGGCTAAGCTAAGAGATGAAAGAATAAGGAAATCCACTAATTAAATAGAGTCGCACTCAAACGTAAATTAAATAAAAAATTCCCCCAAGTTTCATTTCATTAAACCAAGCCAAACAACAAGAAGGGAGTAGCAATCCCTAAAAATACATGCAGCTTTGAAAGAACCACTTCCAGAAAGCTGCTAACAACCATGACCATCTAAAAAACAAAGCAAAAGGAAACTTAGGAAAGTACATCCACCAAACAAAAGGAACGAGTCCCTGCAAACTAAAAAAAAGTAATCTAACATAAGAACAACAGGACGATATAGTGCTCCTATTCTTCCAACAAGTCTTGCAACTGAAGATCCAGAGTAGCATAAATGTCCCAAATGATACTTCTAGCTGTAAGTGAAACACTTTTTGTCTGTGTTGGTATCATGGATAATGACTAGTGATTATCCTTCATGAAATAATTCCTACAATATCAAAGTAGAATTTGGTCATCATGAAGCACAGAGAGAGGAACACCAAATTGGTTTCTTCTAATGGAATTTTCCCTTCCCTAAGGGTTCATTTGGTTAGATGGAAATTAATAGTGGAAAGTGAAAATGAAAGCAAGTGAAAGTGAATAAAAGGAAAATAATTTTCTAGCTTCCATTTGATTAACAAGAATAATCTTTAAGAAATTTGTAAGAAAGTACCATTTCATAGTTTAGATAGCATGAAAGTTGCAAGAAGATGTTATGGTTTATGTAAATTGACCTTATTTCTATTAAACACGATAATTGGCCTAAATAAATTTACATCGAATAAACATTTTTTATCTTTTTTAGAAAATAGACACAATATAAGAATCATAAGACATTCACAAAGGGATACAAACAATTATACTGTTTTTACACAGTCATGCATAAACACATACAAACCATTATACCATTCTTATAAAAAGTCATGCACAAACACATTTTATTTTAGACAGGTAAAAAAGGGCATAATTGTAAGTTCACATAACTTTATCAAGAAAGCAAAATTTTCCTGTGTTTTTTGGCCAAAAATTTTGTGGGAAAATTAGGAGGTCATGAAAAGTTACTTTCCCACATAAAATTTCTTTTCCTGCTATCCTAACTCTTAAAATGCTATAATATTTTCTATTTATCAAAAAAAATATATGCTGTAATATTTTCTGTTCCTTTTCCTTTTCTACTATTTCCATCCTAACCAAACCGAGCCTCAAATGCAACATCTACTGTAAAGTCCATATCCAAAACTTTAGAGTCATTATTAAAGTATTGCATACCCGCATCATTCTGCAAGTTGAGTTTTTGGGGCAGGGATAGAGAAAAGATAGGAATTAACACATAATTCTCTTAGCATAGAAAATCTGTTAATAAGTGTCTTAGTCATAGACTCATAAGTAAGAATATTTCTCCAGTTTTCGCCCACATCAAATTATAAAAAAGAAAAGGCCTTTCTCCCTTGAAGTACGTAACTATGCCTAGTTGATCAAGGAACACGCGGACTGCCCATATCAATTTTGTGCCATCTTAAATTGCCTAAGATCCTTTCTTCTTACTCTTTCTCATAACAGTTGAAATACAAAATGAAATCCACAGGTGCCAAAATATAAATCTATAAAGATAAATCAAAAGTCTGTAATAAAAATATTGGTGTTAGAGAATTTAAGGTACACTGACTTGGTACAGCACTTCATCTGCAATCCAATTGCCAATACCTGAGATATAACCCTGCAAAAAGACAGCATTTAAAAGGCAATATTTAAACTGAAATGAATAAGATAGCATTTGAAATAAATACAATTTACGAAAAGATGCATCTTATTTTAAAATATAAAATTTTCATATGCAGTTTACACTGCAAGCTAAAGTTCTTTTATGTTCGGTCAGAAATCATAAGAATCTAGCAATCATCAAGTTAAACAGTTTGAAACTCTTTTGAACACAGGCTGTCAAATAGTAATATATGAACTTCCTGTATGTGGATTCCATTTGCAAGTTTGGAAGAGATACAAACCGAAATTACAAAGGGAACCATTTTAAATATGAAGGATTAATGATTGAGCATGTCATCCTCAGACAAATTTTTCATATTAGACCTGTGTTTGTCTATTGACCTATCATTTGCAAACAATTAATTTGTTCGCATAAAAAACAATGTGCAAGCTTTGAAATTCTCTTCCAGATTCAATTTTGGGATGTTTTAGTCACCTAAACTTTCAATCTATATAACCTGATGTCTAGCAATAAGAGCATCTACAGTTCAGCCAGAGAGTTTATAGTCTGCAAATTCAGAAGTCAAAAGTACAAAAAGACATGTAAGCAAACTGAAAGCCCAGTTCTGACGATTTAGGTTGGGCCAGCACTATTGTGCCCTTGGCACAACCCGCCTCAACCTATGTAGATATTATCCGCTTTGCACACTCTTCGTGCTCACGGTTTTCAAAACACGTCTAAGTAGTTAAAGGATGTCCACACATATAAGTGCCAACAACCTCTCTCCCCAATCACCCCCTCTTGGGGCCCAATGTCCTCGTTGGCTCATGGGCTTGTGCCCCCACCACCCACTTTCCGGCTGAGGATTGGCTCTGATACCATCTGTCACAACCAGTCCCAACTTGTGTAGATATTGTCCGCTTTGTACAGCGTCTACAGAGTTGGCGGTTGTCTACACATGTAAGTGCCAACAACCTCTCCCCCTCAGGCGATGAGGGACATCAAAGCAGTATATTATTTTCTATAAATCAGAAAATAATAATAATAATAATAATAATAATAAAATAAATGAAAAATAAATAAATTTCCTCAGCTAAATGCTTTTTGTCTTCCTTATCCACAATGCAGCTATCATATCAGCAAAATCATTTTATCTTCCATATCCACGATGCAGCTGTCATTTCGAGTCAAAATGCATATAAACTTGCAGTTGGTTTTTATTGCACACTACCAAATTTAGAGAGCTTTGCAGGATATTGAGATGGTCCTGTTCAATATTATGCTTCTCCTCTCCTTTTCGTAGAGCTAGAGTTCAAAAGTGAGAAAAAGAATGTCTATTAGAATATCAAAATCCAAGACCCTTGCATAACATTGGGGCCACAAGCCCCATCCACTTGCTGTACAAGTTTTAAGACTTCCATATCATACTAGATTATCGACATTCACTAAAAAACATTCAGATATACAGTTGCTAAATTTGCTTTTGACAAAAAGAATGAACACTTCCTGTTACAAATTAGCAATTAACTTACATATGCAATTCATTAGACGATCTCTTGGATTACTATTAAATTGAAAAATTTAAGAATATTATTGTTAGCATATATGATACCACGATTTATGGAATGACTTACCATAATAGCAGAGATTTGACTATGTATATGTTAACATATATGAAAACCACGATTTATGGAATGACTTACCATAATAGCAGAGATTTGACTATGCTATAGAATATGCCATAGAATATACTTTAGAATAGGTTGTGACTTGATTTAGATTTGATTTAGTTTCCTTTCTTGTAATATGAGCATGTGCTCTTTTTATTTATAATACTAGAGCTGTGAATGAGTAATTCATCTCATTCAAGCCTTTATGCAATTCTCTCATTTCTCTTCTTTTTATATTTCTACTTGGTATCAGAGCCAACACCTTTCCACACCTTTTAACAACCTTGCTACTTATGCAACAGCCACCTTAGGCTGTTTGTGACATAGTGTGACGTTGCTATTTTGTGATCAAAAACATGTATTTTTAAATTGGGATAGTTGGTCTCCAACATCTAGAAGGACTTGGGTAAAAAAAAAATTAGTCTACAAAGAGGTTCCGGATATTAAAAAGGAGGCTGTTTGGCTATATGTAAGCGGGTAGCGCTCCTTAAAAAATGTATGTATTTGGATTTTTCAAGAATGGTCTGAGGAGACATTGTTATTGTTTATGGTCTGAGGAGAACTTTTGATTTATTAACAGAATTTGTGGTGTTTTTGGAGTTTTTTATTGTCGTGTGACAAATTATGGCAGATTCAGGGTCCTCGACTGTTAACTCATCAGAAAATCCAGGACTTCAAATCACCATAGTAAAGTTGGATGGTTCTAACTATTTGATTTGGGCACGGTCTGCCAAGATGTTCATTGGTGGCAAAGGCAAGATTGGCTATATTACTGGTTCTGCTGAGTCAGAGAAGGCATATCCACAGTGGTTTGTAGATAACGCTATGGTTTATGTCTTGGCTAGTCAATTCGATGCAACCAAACATAGTTGTTGGCTATATGTTTATGAAGACTGCTAAACAAATTTGAGATTCAGTTCAACGCACTTATGCTCAGAGGTTGAATAATGCACAAATTTTCCAGCTGGGAAATGTCATATTATGATTCCTTCCACTCTTGAAAGGATCCAGATGATGCAGTTTTATATGCAGGGATTGTGGAGAAGAATCGAGTGTTTCAGTTTCTTGCCAGGTTAAATGACAAGTTTGAGTATGCTCGTGTTCATTTATTAGGCTTATCTTCATTCCCTACTCTTAAGGATGCATACTCCTATGCGTTGTCAGATGAAAGTGGTCGGACTCATCCATTAGGTGTTACTTCCGTTGATCGTTCTGCTATGGCAGTTCGGTTCCCAACCTTTCAGGAACTGCACTATCCCAGTTAGTTCAGAGCTCTACCACCGATCTTCCTCTAGGACGACAACGCGGACGGTGTGACCATTGCAGAAAAATTGGTCACATCAAATCTCGTTGTTATGTTCTACATGGACGCCCACCGCAACAGAAACAACACAACAGCCTCGATCCTCAGCACATTCTGTTACACAACCAGTCTCGTTGTCAACTCCTGACAACTCTGCCTCTACATCTTCTGCCACAGTTACCTTGACTCAAGTTGATTTGGACAAGTTCAAGCAATTCTTTAACCAAATGAAGGCATCATCTCAGCCAACCTCCACTTATGCCCACTCAGGTACTATTGCGTCTACACATAGCGTATCAACATCTTCGACACCATGGATCATTGATTCTGGTGCTTCAGACAATATGACTGGTATGTCCTCACTCTTCCATAACTGGTATGTCCTCACTCTTCCATAACTGGTATGTCCTCACTCTTCCAATCTTATAGTATCCGCTCTGGCCATTGCAAGGTCCGCTTTGCGGATGGCTCTCCATCTTCCATTGTTGGGAAGGGTCACATATCAATTACTCCTTCATTAACTTTGTCAGATACACTTCATGTTCCAAAGTTGACTACAAATCTTATTTCTGTTAATAGCGTTACCAAACAATTATATTGTAGTGTAACGTTCTTTCCTTCTCATTGTATTTTTCAGGATCTGGTGTCGAAACGGACGATTGGTAGTGGGCGTGAAGTGGACGGTTTATACCTGCTGGATGATCCTTTGTCACCTCAGGCACATTCAGCTTCATTTTCTAATATTGTTTCATCTAATAAAGCCCAGCTTATGCGTTGGCACATGCGTTTAGGGCATATTTCTTTCAGTTATTTAAATCATTTATTTCCTTCCTTATTTTGTAACGTGGCAGTGTCGGATTTATTCTGTGAGACATGTCATATGGCTAACCATGTTCATTCCAATTATCCAGCTAGTGGTAATAAATCTGCTTTAACACCTTTTGATTTTGTTCATTCAGATGTGTTAGGTCCTTGCCCAGTTACTTCTAGTCTTGGATTTCGATATTTCGTGTTGTTCATTAATGATCATAGTCGTGTTACATGGATTTATCTTATGAAAACCAAAAATGAGGTATACACCATTTTTAAAAATTTTATGACAATGGTTCAGACTCAATATGGTCGTACCATTAAAAAATTCAAATCTGACCAGGGTATGGAGAACACTTATAGGGAGGTACAACGGTTATGTACAGAATTTGGGATTGAGCATCAGATGGCTAATGTTAAAACTCCTTAATAGAATGGTCATTCTGAGAGAAAGAATTGCCACATCCTTGACTTAGCCAGAGCAATCTACATCAGCATGAATGTTCCCCAGTCATTTTGGGGAGATGCAGTTCTTACAGCTGTTTACATCATTAATAGTACTCCTTCTAGGGTTCTTAACTTTGCAGCCCCACTCTCAATCTTACATCCGAATTCATCTCTTTTTTTTATTCCTCCGCGAATCTTTGAGTGTGTGTGCTTTGTTCAACAGATGGGGCAGACTCGTACATAGCTTAACCCCAAGGCTTTGAAGTGTGTGTTTTTGGGCTATTCTCACTCTCAAAAAGGTTATAGGTGTTACCATCCTCCCAGATGTCGGCGGTTTATATCCATGGATGTTTCTTTCTTTGAGCATACACCATACTATAGTGGTTCAGTTGGTTTTCAAAGTGAATGGTTCCCATTGAATATAATGGATGATCACCTTTTTCCGTCTTCAACTCCTCTACCGTTACCTGTTTCGTCTTCTACGATTCCTCCTCATGATAACCCTCCAGCAGGGGGAATTGTTCCTTTTTCACAGGTTTATGGTCGAAGATAACAGGTACAAGCTTCTACTCCCACGATCGACTGCCCTGTTCCTTCGGCACTAGCTCCGCCTTCTCAAGCTATTGTTTTGCTTGATGATCGCCCCATTGCTCTTCGAAAGGGTAAACGTTCTTGTACATAACTTATTTCTAATTTTGTTTCTAATTATGCTCTCTCACACTCCTATCGAAGTTTTCTTTTTTTTGTTGCCTCAGTTCCTCTTCCTTCTAATGTTGCAAATGCACTAGCATGACCTCAATGGCGTGATGCTATGACAGAAGAACTACAAGCACTTCAGAAAAATCAGACTTGGGACATGGTTCCGCTTCTATTGGACGAATGGCTATGGGTTGTCATTGGGTGTTTACAGTTAAGCATAATCCAGATAAGTCAGTTGCTCGTTACAAGGCCCAGTTGGTTGCCAAGGGTTATGCTCAGACTTATGGCATAGATTATCAGGAGACTTTTGCCCCTGTTGCCAAGATGAATACCATCCGTGTATTACTTTCTGTTACTGCAATTCGATCTTGGCCTCTATTTCAGTTAGATGTCAAGAATGCCTTTCTCAATGATGATTTGCAGGAGAAGGTGTACATGGTTCCTCCTTCGGGCTTTCTTTCTCTTGCTCATTCTGGTATGGTATGTTGTCTTTGTCGTTCTCTGTATGGCCTCAAACAGTCTCCTCGAGCTCAGTCTGATTGCTTTGGCACTGCCATGCTCAAGTTTGGTTTCCATCAAAGTGCATCTGATCATACCTTATTTTTACGTCATTCAAACGGTAAGACAATTGCTCTCATTGTGTATGTCGATGATATTGTTCTTACCGGCGATAATACTACCGGAATTGCAGGCCTCTATTGTTGGAAGACTTGAGATGCTTCAACGAAACTTCCTTTGGGGGGGTCGTGGAGTGGAGTTCAAGTATCATCTTGTCAAATGGGAGCAGATTTACAGGCCTTTTCAGTTAGGAGGGCTTGGGATTAGGAGATTGGCCCCTTTCAACAATGCTCCCCTTGGCAAGTGGCTTTGGAGATTCAGCAGTGAAAGACATAGATTATGGAGAAGGGTTATTTAGTGTCGCTTTGGAGAGGAGAGGGGGGTAGTCAGCTAGACCAGTCACGTCTACTAATGGAGTGAGGGTGTGGAGGGCCATTGGGAAGGGGTGGGATGAATTCTCCAAACATATTATATTCAAAGTTCGAGATGGAAGGAATGTCCAATTTTGGGAGGACTCCTGGTGCGAGGATAAGCCATTGGCTCTTTTGTTCCCAAGGCTGTTCAGGATTGTTGTTGACAAACATGCTATGGCTGCTGACTGCTATCGCCTATCGCCTTGATAGCGGGAGGTTGTCTTGAGATGTGCAATTCCGGCAATCTTTTCAGGATTGGGAGTTGGATGATGTCACTGGTTTGTTGGCTCTCTTGTACAAACAGGAGGTGGAGGGCACTGGGGCAGATTCCCTGATTTGGGTGCCTTCTACACAAGGGATATTCTAGGTCCGGTCCTTCTTTGTGTGCCTCTCTGGTTTTTATGGTACCACCTTCCCGTGGAAGACGGTGTGGCTGTCTAAGGCGCCTCTTAGGGTGGCCTTTTTTGTGTGGACTGCAGCTTGGTCTTGGTCCCCTACGGTACTTCTTGAGCATTGAGGTGGCTCACTCCAAGGCTGGCATTTTCATCTCTCAACGCAAGTATGTTCTTGACTTGCTTTCTGCTTCTGGTCAGCTTGGCGCTCGTCCTGCTGATACTCCGATTGAGCAGAATCACCGGTTGGCTGATTCTGAGAGAAAGTTGTTGTCATATGTTGGTCAATATCAACGACTTGTGGGGAAACTCATCTATTTATCCATGACTCGACCTGACATTGCTTATGCCGCAAGTGTTGTGAGTCAATTCATGCACTCTCCTCGTGCCCCTCACCTTGATGCAGCTATTCGGATCCTTTGCTACTTAAAAGGGTGTCCAGGCCGTGGTATTTTGTTTGCCAATCATGGTCACTTACGTCTTGAGACTTAGACAGATGTTGATTATGCAGGATCAATTTCAGATATGAGGTCAACTTCAGGTTATTGTATCACTATTGGTGGTAACTTGGTTACTTTGCGCAGTAAGAAGCAAGATGTTGTCTCTCAATCTAGTGCAGAGACAGAGTATAAGGCTATGGCTCTTGGGGTATGTGAGTTGCTATAGCTGAAAATCTTAATGATAGACTTGTGCCTTCCAGTGTCACTTCCATTCTCACTCTACTGCGACAACAAGTCTGCCATTAGCATAGCAACAAATCCCGTTCAGCATGACAGAACTAAGCATATAGAGGTGGACCGTCACTTCATTCGAGAGAAGATCATCTCTGGTCAAATTTGCACTCCATTTGTCACAAGCTCTCAACAGGTTGCAGACATTCTTACAAGGGGCGTCAGCAAGATTGCGTTTGAGAATGCATTGTCCAAGTTGGGCGTTTCAGATATCCACGCACCAACTTGAAGGGGAGTGTTAGCATATATGATACCACGATTTATGGAATGACTTACCATAATAACTGAGATTTAACTATGCATATGTTAGCATATATGATAGCCACGGTTTATGGAATGATTTAGATTATAGAATATGCTTTAGAATAGGTTGTGATTTGATTTAGATTTGATTTAGTTTCCTTTCTTGTAATATGAGCATGCGCTCTTTTTATCTATAAATACTAGAGTTGTGAATGAGTAATTCATCTCATGCAAGCCTTTACGCAATTCTCTCATTTCTCTTCTTTTTATATTTCTACTATTATTCAAGCTAATAAGCAAACTAAAGTATCAAATACTGTTAAAAGAATTAAATTTTTGGTAGTAAAATTATATATTGATACACCAAAATAAATTGCTAATATTTAATTAACTCAGATAATGCTATAACATATGACATAAAAAGCATAAAGAATTAAAGCTTATTCTGAGATGGAGCCAGATCTGCTGTAACAATAGAATGGACGAACTCACATCTAAGATATAAAGCACACCAAATTACAAGAACACATAAAACACAAACTTATACAAAAAAAACACACACACATCAACACGGAAAAGATATCAAGAAAATGAAAGAACGTAGAGTTAGGTCACTATCCAGAATAGATTTAAGAAGAATTTGGGAAGTAGAATATCGAGATCAGAGAAAATAGCGTGCAAATTTTAGCAGATCTAGGTTTTGGGCAAAGAAAAACTCACTTGGAGCATATGTAGCAATAGAGAAAGGCCATAAAAGCTATGAGGACTACATAAGACAAGTTAAGAAGTGACTGGCAAAAAAACAGGAATGAAACAATATGATTCCTTTTGGTGTCGGCAGGTCATATCTGGCTTGACGACTGAGATTAGGACGCTGAAGTAATCTTCTCATAAAGAACATTACACTTCTGCCTGACTCTAAGAAAGAGAGACATGTTTGACTCAAAGATGATAGAGATGACAACAGTATAGACAAGCCACGTTCCTTGTGCAAAGTCAATGCCATGAAAGTAGACCTGCTAATATGTGGAGCACTTCATTGCATCATAGTGAGGCTTATGGGGGGAATCCAGGAATGCAGCTAACCCCGTAGCAAAAATCGCCTACACCATAGGTGAAATGCTGTTCCTTACTTTTCTCTAAGGGGACAATCTAGAGAACATAGGGGCATCCTATTGATTCAAAGGAAGAAAAGCATCACTGACTAATCCAGACTACAATATCGACATGGACACTGCCTCACTTTTAACCATATAAAGGCCTCTTCATTCTTCAATACTTGGGAGGGGACTGAATCCAGAGATTATGAAACTCCTTCAAAACATTATTAAAATCATTTACTTCCTCCTTCACAAGACTGACATCTGGCCGTTGAGTCTTTGGTGATTTATCTCTCTGTCATAAGCATCTAGATAAAAGGGGGAGGGAAATGTACCATGATGAAAGCAATTAACATTCTTGACTCTCGAGTACACAAAACACGGTGCATTCTTTTGATTACAGTGAACACTTTGAGCTTAACACTGATCCAAGGTCCTTGGTGGCACATAAACTTTGTCCCGTGTATTTGGTTGGGGATTCTATTGATTTACCTCTCTATCATAAGCATCTAGATAAAAGGGGGAGGGAAATGTACCATTATGAAAGTAATTAACATTCTTGACTCTCAAGTACACAAAACACAGTGCAATCTTTTGATTACATTGAACACTTTGAGCTTAACGCTGAACAAAGGTCCTTGGTGGCATATAAACTTTGTCCCGTGTATTTGGTTGGGGATTCTATTCTCGCCCCCAAGTATGTTACATACATTCAGGTTATATACAGTACTGATTGCTTGAGTTTACTACTTAACTGGGAGAAAAAATTAAAAAGAAGAAAAGAAAGGTCTCTTCATTCTTCAATACTTGGGAGGGGACTGAATCCAGAGATTATGAAACTCCTTCAAAACATTATTAAAATCATTTACTTCCTCCTTCACAAGACTGACATCTGGCCGTTGAGTCTTTGGTGATTTAACTCTCTGTCATAAGCATCTAGATAAAGGGGGAGGGAAATGTACCATGATGAAAGTAATTAACATTCCTGACTCTCAAGTACACAAACACGGTGCATTCTTTTGATTACATTGAACACTTTGAGATTAACACTGATCCAAGGTCCTTGGTGACGTATAAATTTTGTCCCGAGTATTTGGTTGGGGATTCTAGTCTCGCCCCCAAGTATCATACATACATTCGGGTTATATACAGTACTGATTGTTTGACTTTACTACTTAACTTGGGGAAAAAATTAAAAAGAAGAAAAGAAAAGAAACAATTGGAAATTACTGCCAAAGCTATTCTAGAAAGGCTTTTGTAAGGGACTAGCCACATAGAAATACATTTCCAACCATTGACCATGTATATTGGGAAATCCCCAAGGGTCATTAAAGAAGTTCTCAGGAAAACTTTACATGCGGGCATAATAATCTTAGAAAGTGTGAGCAAATAAAAGTGGTTCCAACCTGATCAAGTAAAAGAGCCTTAATTCCAATCTTCTTCTTGCTCAAGGAGTTAACCAACTCATCTATTGTCATAGGCTCTAATAATGCATCTGGACCTAGATCAGATATCGGGGGCACAGAAGCTGGCTGTAACAGTGATACATTACATCAGCATAATGAGAATGCATTCCCAAGACAGATAAACATTGAAAACTTTATCACAAATGGATAAATGGTATAAAATTACATCTTTGAGCAAGCGAACTCTTGCAAATCGCCTCTTATCAGTGAATGAAAACTCCAAACCATCATCTAGCTGCACAAAGTGAAGAAACATTGATTTCTTTTTCTTTTTATTAAAACACTTCTAAACAATGGAAAATGTAAAACATAGCTTCCGCATGCATCAATTGAAGAACTAAGACGCACTATTGTTTGTTGCACTTGCATTATTTCAAGGACAATAAATTATACAAAAAATTTAAAATCAGTAAGGAACACATGAAATTAATTAATGTTTATTGGTAAACTTCAGGACTCACAAATTCCCCTCCTTGCCCACTACTAATTATTCTCCTTTACCCAATGACAACTGACAAGATCAATTAGAGAAAGCAATACTAAATAGCCCTCCAGGATGTCAAAATAATAAGAGGAATTGTTTATATACAAATTTGTGCAAACTTCTACATACAGATCTCCCTTCCCCCACCCCCTGGGGTTACCTAAAGAATATTTATGAACTATACCAATTTGAAAATCTAATTAGAATAAAGGAAGCATTATGAAATCATCGGGCATTTACTACTGTTATGAACAGGACTATACATCCTCATCACCAACATCTGGTCTTCAAATGTTACGTTATTAAAAGGTTACATGGCACAGACAATTCAGAAACATATGCACATAAACTTGGTAGACTTTTCAGTAGGCACCTACCAAAGGAAACCTCTGTAGGTAAAGCTGCATAAAAGCTTTGCACCTATCAAAGGAAACCTCTGTAGGTAAAGCTGCATAAAAGCTTTGCATTGACTCGTATATCAACTAAAGTTACTCAACCATGTCAACTCAGAAATAGAGTGGCCACACCAAAGATTATGCTGTTAAAGAGAAGCGATACCATTTCTTTTTGATCCTTAAATAATGTAACTCCATCAATATACCACAAAACTGAACAATAGTTTATTCTAACTAAACCACATCCAGTTAAGCTGAAAATCCGTAAGCAAATTCGTTAGCTTAGGGCAAGCAGTAAAAAGTTATTATCCTCCTCAAACAACTGCGCGATACCATTTCTTTTTGTTAAATTGATTCTGCCAAATAGACAGATTCTTTTATGTGACTTCAACTAAATAGTCATTCAATACACTACAACAGCATTTTCCTGTGTGGCAAATGTTCTGTGTAAAAGAAAAACAAAAAGAAGTGACAGTAGCAGTAAATTGTGGTGTTTCTTGACAACGGTGCTGTGTTAAATGTGTTTTTAAAAAAATTGGTATTATTGTTGTTGTTGTTGTCGTTATTATTGTTATTATAATTATTTTGTAAGAAGTGAGTATGCTTAGATCTTCTAATATACTGAACAAATGAAGCTGACTTTAGATATTTTATTTCCAGTTAGACTAATTTAGACAGTTCCCAAAAAGAACAACAATATTATAGATTAGAAACTAGCAAGTAGACAACACTGGACAAGTATAACTACATGCAGTGCAATAACATTTTACTATTCCGATTATTTGCATCCTTGATTTCAAGGTTCGAAGACTCAGCCAAACCCAAAATGACTCAGCTGAGTCAGCACAGGATTGAACCCGCTAATTTGAGTTCTATATACATGACACCACTCATGAATCATCTTTTTTTGTCAGATCTGCATGATTGAACATATAGACGCCAAAACAACTCCTTTTCTTATTCAACTACACCACTTCTACCTATACCAAACCAAAGAAGAAAATTCACTCTCCTACAAAGAGATAAGCCTTGAAAATCAAACATGAGATGAAATTCAACAGTCACTCCGCATATCCTTTGGTTTGCAAGGATAGCCTGGGCATGCACCATGTTGCTTGGATAGTTGGATGTGCACCACGTCCACCGAGGGACATTCTCCTAACTTGTTAAAGTAAAAGGAACTCTTAAAATCTGAAAATTTATTCTGAATTTTGAGTCAAAGATGATGGGCATAAAGAATTGCAACATGTGAATTCTCAAAATACATAATTAAAATCTTCTCCCAATTTGTAATTTTTTTTCAAAACAAATTTTCCATTTCTTTTGATGAGCAAATTTTGGAAAATGCGGCAACAGCGCATTAACCTCTTGATCAATGAGTGCCTTATGTGGCATGCCATGAATGACATCTGGAAAAGCAAGTTTCTATAGATCAACCATCTAGAATTAAATCCACCAGCAAGACATGAATCTTTGAGACTTTTAGTTTGAGCTTCTTCGACTGGAGAAGGTAATTTCCTCCTTTTCCTTTTAATGTTAGATTGAAACCATATATATATATATATATATATATATATATATATATATTTATTCGAATGGTAACCATATATTTTTATTACATTCTTTATTTTGTTTGTTTTCTTCTATTTATTTTTGTTTCACTTTTTAAAAAACCAAAAAACAAAAACATAAAACAGAACAAAATATACCATATCTGGGAGAACCTTCATAGATTTGTGATATGTATAACTAATAAAAATTTGAAGCAAGACTTATGTTTTGGTTTCAACCACATGTATTTTTTTATTGTATTGAATACTTTTTTTTTGATAAGTTTTTATTGTATTGAATACTTATCAATCAACTTCTGTGTAATATTGTAGCAAACTAACTCAATAGCACCTATATAGAATTTGAACAAAACTATACGTGTTAAATGGTGTGTTTTGTTTCTTTATTTCTCTATTTTATTCTTTCTACCGTTTTCTAAATTTTTCACAATTTCCATCCTGTTTAGTGTTTTATGTAGTATTGTCACGTGTCACCAATATCAATTGAGCAAGATGCAATCAAGTTAACTGCGTGCCCAACAAGTCAGATGCTCGGTGTTGAATCATGCTTGTATTATAAGTTTAAAAGAAGATAGTTGCACATATAGTACAAATAATTGATTGACAAAATAGGAACTCTTACTTCAATAAACAATTTGGAATACTTGGAAGGCCACTCATCAGTGTCACTTACGGCAGACCTGTTACCAACAAACCATTTTCACAATCAATCACTGCAAACTCTTTTACAAATGAATATCACGAGCATCAGATATGATTTAATTTAGACATCAAACAACTTTTTTTATCAGTACATTTTTGTTAAAAGGGACTAGTCCCTATGTACACACAAAGCATACAGCCTACATAGAAAGACCTAAATAGGCAAAGAATGAAATCATCCAGAAGATATAACAAAGGTTCTCTAAAATCAGACCCCTTTTAAAAACGGCATGGCACAAAGAGAAACACAATCTACACTCAAGCTCTTCAAACTCTAGAAACCAACTACCCACCATCTTTCAAGCAAATCTAAAACAAAGAGGCACTACCAATCACCCCCAAGAAATTAAAAAGAATTCCAGATTTCATAAGCTTTGTCGTAATGCATGAACAAGTGATTAATTATATTCTCATGTTCTCAAACAAACAACCTACTACTCAGAAGGGCACAAAGAATATATTAATCCTTTACCGCCTCCATATCATAATATCCTCCCGTCACTACTCACCTGAACAGATATAACCTATTAGAAAAGGAATCCACTACCCCAAATCCGTCAAACATGTGATGTCTATAGAACCAAAGCCCCCAACACATGGAAACAACTACTCACAACATATAATTACTCAACTGAAAATTCTTCTCCCCTGCAATTCTGAAAAAAATTGAGCTCATCCACCGAGTAATTTAGCATGGCTACCACAAAAACTACTTAACACAATTTAATTACGAAGTATAAGCAACTTAATTAGACTTTATGCTACCAAAGGCACTGAGACTAGTTTTTATACGTTAAATGCTATAGAGAAACCTTGTAGAATAAGATAAAATAGTGATGATATTAGAAATAATAAATCCTCATAGAAATTTTCATACTACCTTTCCATTATTAAAATTATTACACTACTGTAAAACTCTTCGTTTAATAATCACCTAAAAATAAAGAAACCCATTTTCTTCAAATTCATCTACAAAACATACTGAAATCTCACCTCTTATATTTTGTAACTGCAACTCCTTTGATGTATATAGCGCCCGCCATTCCTGTAAGAGAATACGAATAACGAGGCAAATAATTAATATATACAGAGAATATAGGAACAAAAACAAAAAGAAAATGATCTCATAAATCCAATCAATTATTACATGCAAAAACTAAACTGAGGCTAACATCATTATTTGGCTAAAATATTAGAGTCCGAACTTAAGCAACAAAAAGAAAAGAAAAATCGTAAGCAACAAATAGAAAATCAACTTAGAAATGAGGCTCCATTGTGTAAAGAAAAATTTCTCGGGCCCCTCTTTAATAAGACTTTAAAAAAATATATATCTAACTTTTTTCTTCCATTGCATATTCTCAGCAAACAAACAGAGCTTTAATAATCGCCCCAAATCTACATTTCTAGGCACATGAATATTAGATACTAGCGTGAGTGAACTAGAGATTTTCTAGGGTTTTATCAATTGTGAAATCGTACCGAACTGGAAAGAAGGAAAAGGTGGGGAATCGAGCTCGAGCCACATGTTCTTGCCCTTCCGGTGAGCGGCGACAATGGTCTTGCCGAGGAGAGAGGCTTCGAAATCCGAAGGCAACACGGCATCGATGACCTTGGTATCGTCTGAGATTACCGATCTCTTGATCTTCCTGCCGATACAATGGTCTGCGATTGCTCTTCGAGCGGCTTCTACCTCTGGAAGCTCTGGCATTGTCGTCAATGGAGTTTCGCGCGCTTTTCGTTTACTGGAAAATTGTGGGGTTTTGGTTAGGTTTTTGTAAGGTTTCGGAGAAGATGGATGGATGAGAGGAGGTGGACCCGACACTACTTGGTGCAGTCCCTCGACCAATCAAAAGTCGAACATCTAATTGACAAAGAAACAAAGCGGAAAAAAAACATGGCACATCATTAAAAACAAATAAATTTTTTTTTCACATTAAAGCAATTACTGTAAATGAGAAACTGCTAGACTACCTCTCCACTTCCCAATGTTGTTCCCATTTACAATGTTTAAGCCCTTGAAAATAATTACTATAAAAGCTAGATGGTGACGGTTGAGTCTGTTTGTTTCTTTTTAATAAAAAAATAAAATAAATTTAAAAATATAGAAATTTATAAGGAAAAAAAAAAAAAGTTGCACTTTTTTATACCCAATAAAACGGAGGAAATTAAATGGTTATTGAGATCTTGATTTCTATATAAGTAAAAGCCCCACACTTGCATGTATATATATTTAAATTTGATCTCTTGCTTAGGGATGGCAATTTGAATCGTCCCGTGGTTACAGGCCTCATCCTGTCCCCTTTTTTGCGATTTTGGGAACCGTTTTACTTATTTGGGCGGGAATGATTTGATGCAATAAAAATCTGCGCGAGTTTGGTGCGGGGGCGGGGGTTATTGCCTCGCACCACCCCATCCCGTTTAGATAGACAAATTACTTAAGTACCATTATTTCATTAGTATATATTTCCCACATATATTAAGTACTCTATATAACAAATTAATTTTATTAAAAGGAAAGTTGCAATGGTGAAGAATTGAGGATGAAAAAAAAAAAAAAAAAAAAAAAAAAAAAAAAAAGAGCAAATCCATTTCAACAATAATTAAATTATGGTCTTAAACGGGACGGGCAGGTACCCACGGGGATAAAAATGTTAAACGGTTACGGGAATGGGGTTAAAAGTTTCTCCGTTTTTTGCGATTTTAAGCTGGGACGGGACAAGGTTTTTAAATGGTTACGGGAGCAAGGGAGGGTACACCCGCCCAAACCCGCCCCTGTTGCCTTCCCTACCCTTGCGGGAGACTTTTCGCACACAAATTTCGGTTGGATATAATTTAATAATTATATTACAAAAATTTGACTAATTTTTATGTGAGGTGAGAGATTCATATCATTATGACTTATTAATTCGCTTAAACTTTAGAATTTTAAATCAGGCGAATTACAAAAAAAAAAAACCCTTGATTATTATTCACTTGCAAAATACTTCCCTTACGAATACTTTTAGCAACAAATCCCCCTCAACTATACTGAGGGGGGTATTTTAACTTAACACCGTGCAATGAATTTTTGAGATAATTTTTTAGACCAAATTACCTCTCAAAAACAATATTCATCTTCTTCTTTGCATCTTTTAAAAAAAAATTCTTCTAAACCTAACCTTTCTCTCCCTTTACTGTTACACCCAAACAAAGAAAACTAGGATGATGAATCATCCCCACCTACCCAATAAGGAATACTGTTGGTGTCAACTCGAAGCCCCATAGAACCGAGGGCGGATTCAAGGGTGGGCGAAGCTGGGCTTCAGCCCACCCCAAAAAAAAAAAAAAAAAAAAATATTTACCATACTACTTCAAGCCCAGCTCAAAAAAAAAATAAAAAAAAATAAAAAAAAAAAAAAAAAAAAAAAAAACAGTAATGGTAGCCCAGTCCAAAGTTAGTCCAGTCTAAAATTAGCCCATCCCATTCAAAAAGGCTAGATCCGCCCTTACATAGAACCCACACACACACACATATATATACACAAATACAAACACTATTCATCTTTTTCTTTGCATCCTTCTGATAAAAATAAAAATTAAAAAAAAAAAAAAATTCTTGCCCAACCTAACATTTCTTTCTAGAAAACAGAAGGTTTTCACCAAGCCAATCAAGTCTTCCTCTTGTGCGCTTATAAAAAAATTTGACCTCCCTTTGCTTCTTACCCAAACTGATCTTTCATGACATCCCATACAAGAACCTTTATGAGAAAAAATTGTAGTTTTTGCATTCCTTATTTTATTTCTTTCTTTGCCTTTATTGTAACACGGAATTTAAAATTGGAAACAAAAACAACGTGTTCAGTAACTATTAACAAGTAAAGAATTGCATGAAATGTTGCAAGAATCAATCCAAGAACATTTCTGCTGCAATAATGTCTCATATTCCAAATTAATTAGGTTTCTACGTTATAGTTGTATTTTATCAAGGAAAATACTTGTCGGGATATACTTGGGCTCCAATGATGCTTAAGAAAGAATTAAGAATTTATTTATTTATTTTTATTATTATTTTATCAGAAGAATGCAAAGAAGAAGATGAATAGTGTTTGTGTGTGTGTGTGTGTGTGTGTTGGGGGGGGGGGGGGGGTTCTATAGGGTTCCAAGTTGACGCCAGTAGTATTCCTTGTTGGGTAGGTGGGGATGATCCATCATCCTAGTTTTCTTTGTTTGGGTGTAACAGTAAAGGGAGAGAGAGGTTAGGTTTGTAATAATTTTTTTTTTAAAAGATGCGAAGGAGAAGATGAATAGTATTTTTGAGGGGTAATTTGGTCCAAAAAACTATCTCAAAAAATCATTGCACGGTATTAAGTTAAAACACCCCCCTCATTATAGTTGAGGGGGTTTCTTGCTAAAAGTATTCATAAGGGAGATTTTTTGCAAGTGAGTAATAGTCAAGGGGGGTTTTTTTGCAATTCACCCTTTTAAATCAATATCCTAGCATTACAAATTTACTATCTTACTTAATTTAATTTTTATCAAACCCAAAAGCATAGTAAATAATAATTCTAGACACGAGCTTACTTTAAATAAGACTGATTTTACCCAACAATCTCTATTTATTTTTTTTTTTTTTTAATTTTAAAATTTGAAATTTTTAGTGTAAAATTTTTACAGTAATGCAGCATGCTCCTATTGCTTCTAGACCTCTTCAGTGGCATTATTAAGGGTGCACAAAGAACCGTTAGGAACACGAGCCGGTACTTGGTTTCAGTTCCAAATATTTAGAACCGTTTAGTCTTGGTTTCGATTTCGGCTGTAACTCCAGCTCCAAAGTATGGAACTTGAACCGAAACTATACTAAAATTAAATATATTATTTTTTAATTATATAATTACTAATATATTTACCATATATATATATATATATATATATATATATATATATATATGTCTATTGATGTGTAATGACCCTGTCTTTTCTTCCTCTTCCGATTTCCGTCATTAATTTTTTATTATTATTTAATTATTTAATCAATTATTTAATTATTTGATTTATTCTTTTTTGTGACCTTAGGGTTTTAAGTTCGAATTTGACTTCCGATTTAACGTGCATCTTTGTGATACCCCTAGATTTTCGGATACGGGTTGGCTAGGCCCACGCCCGATTACCCGAGGATATCAAGACAATTAGGCAATAATCGAATACAGAATAAAAATATGATAAAAAGAAATAAATAAAACTTGCTGAAAGAAAACTAAAACGATAATCCATTAATGAAATCCTCAGAATAAATTTTTATAAATAATAAAATATTCTGGTACATCCAATCCTCCATTAGTAATACAACTCGGAAATCCATACTATGTGGACCCCTAGAAAAATCCCAACTAAACAAGTGTCTACATCAAAATATCGAGAACATAAAGAAAACTTCTATGCGACCAATCCGGAAGAGTGAAGTAGACGATCCCTGCTCAGCACGAATAATCCCTACCTCTGACGAAAATCTGAAAAATGATAATGGGTCAAACCCACATGCAAGTTCTACTCTATTACAATCCAAGCAGAGACCCGATACGCAGATACATCCTAGATAACTCAACAATAGCTAAATAGTCCATATATGTATAAATACACATTATAGGACGTTTGTTAGTCCATAAATCTGTCTCAATCTGAATAGAAGGAAACATGTAAATCACACATCACGGTGTGCATGTATACCTAGACCTACCAAGGAACATCAACTATGTCTAGTTACTTATCCTAGGTGATATATGCACCCTAACTATGATCCTAAGACTAAAACTCATATCACGGCACCATAATCATATATATAAATCATTCCTAATATAGAATATAAAACATACATCCAATATGTCGTTCAACTGTTTTAGTTGACAAGACATGAATCCTTGTAGGATTTAATTGTTTTAGTTAATCCATTCCGTTTATATGAATAGGTAGGAATTAACGTTTTGATCTAATCCATCCCTAATATGCCACCATCCCATACCAGTGCAAATAATGCATATGATCCATAATTGATGTAATACTCATTTGAACATCAAATACATCCAAAAACAAACATAATAGAAGTCAGATATATGCAGGATCCTATTATGCATCCATATATGATTATAATCATATAACCTTTGTTAAAATTGCTAGAGTAAAAATAAGCAATTTAGATCATCCATATCCATATAATTGACAGAACAGAAATTATAATAGTTCATCAATTATAATCCATAGCTTGATATAATGCTAATCAGAAATATAAACTGAGCACATTATACTGAAATTCCAAAAATACTTTCATACTAGTCCATTTAATTTGATAAAACAAAGCTAGCAATTAAATCTTCCACAATTCGTAACAGCATGCAAATTAATATATAAATTTCATGATGTCCATTTAATCCTCAATTATAAATTCAGAGTATGATATAATGATACTCAGATGTGATGTTTCCAATTTTCAGCATTTTTCATTTTTTCAGAATTTCGTCGCTGCGAGGGCAATTTCGTCTTTTCACATTTTGCGCACTGGATTTTAATTGGGTCCATTTGCATTTCACACATTTTGATTTATGTGATTTGTGTAGCATTTGTATGGCGGTGCATTGCATATGTTTGTGTGGTGTAGATTAAATCAAAGGAAAAAGGAAAAAGTTAAAGGTTGGTGGTGGGACCCACCAATATTGTTTAAGTCGTTTAGAGACCATATTTGGTCTCTCACTTTCCTTATCTTGCATTTTCTTTTTCTTTTTCAACTAAAACTTCAAGATTACTCCTTCAATTCTTGGTGTTTTCGGAAGCCGTTTACGGCAAATCGAAGCCCACGACGAGGCCTT